ATGTGCATGGGCGGCCATAATCACGACTGTCTAAGCATTCAATGAGCTAAAAGTCAAGTCGTCTTTGGATGGGTAAAAACTTGGCCGTGGAAGATGGATTTTAGGTCGGCGCGAATGGACCTAAACAATTTGACAAAAAGAAAACGAACATTTATTGATTTTTTTCCCTGTCTTATTTGATCCTCATTTTTAATATATAGTTGTTTCAAAATTTATTTTTAACAACATATTTTATTGGATATTTCACACCTCTTTATCATATATTCATCCATTTTGATTAAAATCTAATAAATTTTTTGATTGTTTTGGTATGAATTGCAAAATATAATCTAGTATATTAATAGGATAAATATTGTGTTAGGGAAAATTGCAATAGCGATCTCTAACATTTTCAATTTTTGCAGACTTTATCTTAATCTTCAATTTGTATCAGCGGAGGTTCCCAACCTTTCAAAAATATGTAACAGAGGTCCAAATGGATGGTTTGACTATTAGTTGATCAAGAAAGTCAAAATTTGATCAATTTTGACAAAATTAAAAATAGTAAAATGATATCTTGATAATTACCATTGAACCAAAAAAATCAGGGAAAAAAAATCAAGAAAACAAATAAAATAAAGATTGTCTCCTTCAACCAGCCTGGCCATCCCGTCCCACCTAATTCCCCTGAAATTATCTACCAGCACCACTATCTATCGCTGGTGCCACCGTCAAGAGTCCAATTACACACCATTGCCAGCAACATCTCCTTACACCCTTGCCAAAAATCCAGTCACACCCCCATCATCCACCTATTGAATCGATTTTTACTAGCTATTCCTACCGAACAAATTTTGTTTGACGGATCCACCGACACAAATTCAAAATTAAGGTAAAACCTGTAAAAATTGAAGAGGTTAGGATCGCTGCTGCAGTTTCTTGTTAATGTTTCTTGAGGAAGCAAATGAAGTCCATGTGGAATGATGATTTCAGACCGTGCATTGGTTTACACCAATGTTCACATTATGTTTGGTATAATATAGTAGGAGATAGATATATTATACTTCTATTTGTTGGGGATTAAAAATGAGATTTTTATTAAATTTTGATAAAAGTTAATGAGATTTGTGGTGGAAAAGTGGATCTCATAAAATATGTAATTAAAATAAATTGTTGATTTTGATTTAAATTTAAATTTAAATTTAAATTTTTAGCAAACAAGGGGCCATATATGAAGTTAATATTCGTCCCATTACCAAACATTTGAGCTGTAAGAGTTGATAAATTTCAGCTCATCATACCATAGTGGCCATCATGATTACTTTTATACCTAGAAAACACTCAATTTTTTTATGAGACGGGTCAAGGATCGAGCGAGTAGGTAATAAATAAATAAATATTTATCTTTTTTGGTTAGAAAAAAAAATTGGTTGATTAATATTCAAGTTATTTCAACAATAAAATATTCTGCATGTAAATCGAAATTTTTTTCATATTTTTTAACCACACTTTCCTAAAAATTATTATTCAAAATATTATTTTTCCTAAATAATGACGATCAAACATGGACTTTGTTGTTAACATTGGTAAATATTGTTGAAATTGAATTTAAATATATAAATACATTCTTTTTAAATGGCTTTAATGCAAGTGGTTCTATGAATATTTTATTATCATCGTTTACACGAAATAATTTTAGCTGCCTATATATTAATATTTTGTTATTCTATGAATATTTTATTATCGTCGTTTACAATAAATTATTTTAGCTGCCTATATATTAATATTTTGTTATGACCACTTGATAAAACACATGGATATACACGTCACGCGAACCGACCATATTCATGTTTACATACTGTTGAAGGAATATTTAATTTCCGGGACTGTGTTCATAATTTATTGTAATGCCTAGTTGGTGTTATCTTTCATTTTCTAATTCTAAAATCTGGAAGTGAACGAGTATCGACGAACAGCAAAAGGGCAAGAAATTGCTTTCCGAAAAAAAATGGCAAGAAAATAACAGTATGCAATAATTTATATATTTGGTCATGAAATTCGACACATCTTTAAAGATAAAACAATCACTTTGTATAACTCACCAAAAATATTTATTAGCATGCACACTCCTATATTATCTTAACCTGCTTTTTCCAACGTTAAATAAAATGAAAATATTTTGTAAATTCTGATTCTAAAATGGTTCTTGTTGACATTGAAATCCAATGAGACGCGTTGTTAATAGACCTCGACTCTACTTCCATTCATTCGTAAGTTATCTCGTTATATGCATGCGACCAAAGCCCCTTGGTGGGGGATATGGTCATAGGCACTTCGTCGCTCAAATTAGCCAACTGAATATATTTTAGGTATGGAAGAAAAAAATGACGAGTATGATGGGCTTCTAGTTGAAGAGATACCAAGAGCGATATCAAAAGAATTCAAGATTGGATTTAATGTTTGACTGTGAGAGTTGCATTACCTTTCGAAGAATAAGATCGAGGAAGCGACGATGTCCACTGGATGCTTGACGCGTGACGCGTGACCTCATCTAAACAATGCACAGGTCAAGCTCGGCAAATGTCAATCCCAACTATTAGTTGTACAAAGCATCTTTACACGGAAGAGCTCTTCTATGATGGGCTTCAAGTTGAAGAAATACCAAGAGCGATAAAATAAATAAATTCAAGATTGGATTTAATGTTTGATTGTCAAAGTTGCATTACCTTTCGAAGATTAAGATCGGGGAAGCGACAATGTCCATTGGATGCTTGATGCGTGACCTCATCTAAACAACGCACAGATCAAGCTCAACATATGTCAATCCCAACTATGAGTTGTACAAAGCATCTTTACACGGAATATCTCTTGATCCCTTGACTTTTGTAGAAGATGCCTCAACATGTTGAGGTAGATCACTTCCAAAATCCACTGCAACGAATTATGTCACCTTGCCTCGAAAGTGATGCTTCAGATGAAGTTACACCGCTTCGGACTAGGTGTTTCAATCGCCTCGCCTTGCTGCCTAATGACTTTGGAAAAAACTTTTGAGGGGTTAGGTGACGTGAAATGTAGATCTTGCGTGATATTTTACTTTTATTAATTAGTTGATGTTGTGACATGACTCGCATGGCAAGATATGTAATAATTCTCTTATAGCTAAGTTAGTTTTAAAAACATATAAATAATTATACACTTCAAGCACGTATCGAAAAGGTGAAGAAATTTATGAGAGTCATACATTTTACATGGAATACGTATCGTAGAGTTGTGGGAAAGGAGGATTACTTTCGGCGGAGGACAAATCCCGCTACCCTATCTTACAGGGAAATAATATAAAACAAACCTTAATCGTCAAGTCATATTCAAGGATGTGAAATAACTGTCCTATATTATTGGCCATGCAGATTTTATGTCTTTGTCGGCGCATTGCATGGTAGCAAATTCAACTTGGAGAATCGTGTGGGACCAAAATCAAAGTCCAAACACAGACACTTACTCTTAAGTTTGAATAATAACTTATAAATTTTTATTCATAAGTGAATAAATAAGGTTGAGGATAAAAATAAGTAAATTTTGCACTAGTAACATAACCTTACTCGGCCATTAATCTATAGGTTCAGACTTGGTCTTTTGCACTAGTAACATACTTTAAATAACTTTGCTTGGCCATTAATCTATGGAATCCCGTTTGATCTTCTGCCCAAAGTGAACACGAGTTATTGTGTTCACTTTGAGTATGACATCATGTGATGTTGCCACATCATACATCACTGCTGATGTGACAACACTACACAATGGACATGAGATCATGCCAATTTGTAGGCTAGAACGAAATTAAATTTAAGCCACTTGCAATGAATTTGTTAGCAAATAACACATTTCTAATTGTATAATACGACTATTAAGCTTAAAATTAAATAATTTTTATGGCGTGTTTCTTAAAGCTTCTTCGGTAACGATTTTTCTGAAAGACAAATAATTTTTATTTGAAAATGTGCATTTAAAAATGTTAAGAAAAATAATTGTGGATTCTATAAAATGTGTGGTTTTAAATAATCTTAACAAAAATTGAGTGTAAATAAAAACATAGCTTGTTTTCATCTTAAAATTTGCTAAAAATATAACCTTGTCACGAGTAAATTTTTCGAAAAAAAAAAAGGAAAAAATGAATATCCAGTAAATTAAATAATTATCCTTTTTAGCATTTTCTTTTTATAGTTATTCTGAATTCAGAAAATATGTTTCCTTCATAAAAGGAATTAATTAAAATGTAGTTAACACTCTAATCACTTTTTTTCGCTGGTGCGAAATCATTAAAGCTGATAATTATTAATGAACATTTCTTAAATCACCACTTTTCATACCTAACCCATCTCCTTTTCACGTGAGCTCATGGAGGACAAAATCAAAAATATCAGCCACGTGTATGGCTAGGATTTCCCGAATTCTCATCCCATAGGGTTCGAGGAACCCGAGGAAAAGATTAACGGTCACCATCGCTACAACTGATATTCCTAAAAATAGAAGAATCCAACGGTCACCGTCGCTTCGGCGGTTGCCGCCCAAGGCTTTTAATATTATACTGGAGTCCAGGATCAGCCTACCGCCACTGTTGTCGGTAAATTAGGATGAAATTAATTTTTTACATTAATATAAATTACAAAAAATAATTAAAATATAAAAAAATTGATTCATTGGAGTATTTTCTAGTTCTATTTAAAGAGCCTTACGAAAGTCTCAAGAAAGTTGTTTTCTTAGTGTTGAATCAGAAAAAACCCCATCTGGGTTTCTATTTCATATAATATAGATATTTTCTGTGTGTTTTTTACTCTAAAGATTCAATCTTTGAATGCAAATATTATCAAAGATTGCAAAGAAACTTTGATCACGCAGTTTCTATAAATATATGTATAATTAATTTGTTCTTTGCATAGATAGATGCACATCTTGTAAGTTTGATCCGTGTTTATTTGAAATCACTGCCCGAATTTCTTCATATTTGGTAAGAAAAATCTTCAATGGAGGGCGTTTTAATGCATGCATCAGCTGAAAAACCCATTTCTCCCTACAAATCCCATATCAGAACCCCAAACAAAATCAACCTTCCACTGATTTCTAGACCTGGTGATCAGAACTTTTTGCCATCAAATCTGTACGCCGCCGGTGTTTTACGGGTTCCGCCACCGTTTCTCTATCACTCCTACCCTTCATTTTCACTCCAACCACCACCTCAGCCACCCCTTCTTCCTCTTCCCACCCCGAATCCCCACCGCACCGCCACCCTCTCACGCGGCCACTCGTGCCCTACGCCTACGGTTAACAGAAGGGCAAAGAACAATCCCAGAAAATCATCAAAATCCTCCACAAGTCCCAAGAAAGAAGAGAAAAAATTGGGAAAAATAGCCTCAGGATGTGTTACCGTTTCATCAAATAGTCCTTTAGGGCCAGACCCTAAAGATCTGCCAAAAAATGTTACAAAAGTTTTATCTTCTCTATCATCAGGGAATACCAATAGAATTAGTACTAACAGTGTTGGGAGTATTAAAGTTAAAGGTGTTGAAATTGAAAAGATTAACAAGTTTTCTGGTTCAGTTGTGTTTACAATTTCTCCACCACCAAGCAGTTTGCCTTTGCCCACTTTTTCATTGAGGCCAAAGCGCAGCTGCAATGCCCAGGCAGCCGGGATCGACACCGGTGCTACTGACAATCTCCGGCGACTTCTTAGACTCCCATGACGTCCTTAATCAGTGTGGAGTTAAATTAAAAAGCACATGGCTTTGTTGGTGGCAATCTTGCTATGTTCTACACTTTATTTTCTTCTTATTTCGTGTGTTTTTGAATTCTGCAAAATGTAAATTTGTGATCACCACCTGTGTTTTTTGATGGGGTGCACAAATTAAGGCTTTTAGATATAATAAAAAATGCCTCAAGCTTGAAGTTTGTAATTTACCTATGTATCTTTTCAATTTCTGAAAAAAAATGTATGAATAAATATTGTATTTTCTTATTTTTTGCTTTTCAAATTTGTGGTCTTTATCCCTTTATCAATTTTTATTTATTCTGTAATTATAATTAGAAGACAGCAAATGTGTATATACTATCAAAGGGTTTCAGGAAGCGTGGACACATTTCTTTAAATAATAAATGTTGAACATGAAAGCTGGGTAACAATTTAGTGATCTACATCTTTTTATTTGTAAGAATCTTGCTATAAGTACAGAAAAATTATACAGAATGGGACATGAATTTGAAAGAGCTGTGCTACAGTGCCCACGTGGGTGACCGCGGGGATGACCGCACACACACACATGGAGGGTTGGGATTATTTTATTCACATGGAACCCGCGCCTCGGCTGTGAGTGTGCGGTCATCCCCGCGGTCACCGGCGCGGGTCGTTTAGCATTTTTCAATTTGAAATGGAGGGAACAAATTCAAAATGGGAAGAGGGAAAACAACACACAAACGTATATGATGTTACCATTCCAATTCCTATTAAAAATCTGTGAATTATTCTACGTAATTCAACCCATGTTCTCAAGGATGTGGTGTTCTTTTTATCTTTGATTAATTGTGTAGTGCCGACTGTACCGTGTAAAACTGCAAATTTTTTTATACAAATTTGTTGATCCGACCTTTAAATTCTATTCTAGATCTTTATAATTTTATATCAAATCTTTTGAGTTCTATTTTTAAATATTAAATTGCTTAATCCACCCACACAAAAAGGAAAGTTGCAGTCGAACTTTGCAAAAGCAAAAGAACCCCTAACATAATTTGAACGGAGGCTGATGGAAGAGCCAATCAGAATGTAAGGATGAGATCGGGCTAGAGGACTCTCTAAGGTCCCTATCGTCCTAACAACCGATCATGCCTCATAAGGAAATTAGCTTTAAAATGTTCAAATTCTTGTATGGTAATCTTTAATTATTGACGCAAAATTGTACTTTTGACATTTTGATGGTCTCTTTTCATTTTATCTTTTCGTTCTATTATGTTTGTGGGAGATCTAAGCTAAAGTAGTGCATTATGGGTTAGCTTTTGGCCAACCTTTAATAATTTCTTTATCTTTGTTCTACTTTTTCAATGAAAGGGTACTGTAATCCACATACCACGTGCAAACATCCTTTGGAGTCAAGGCAACTAGTATTTTGGGTTGCATTCTTTTCTGAGTTGCCAAATATTTATTTAATGATATATTTAATCACATTTAGACGGTGGGACCAGCTTGATTAAATCAGGACGTGTATTCCGAGGTCCTCACTATTGTTCCGAGGCCATTGCTGCTAACAATAAGCCACGGTTCGGTAGGCATGCATCGTCCGAGGCTCCTTAGCAGCCATTGAAGACCCACTTGCAAAGATCCGCTTATGATGGAGATCTTTTATGAATGATTGACGTGACTCTTATGAAAAGTTTATCTATGTCCTGTATTGTCAATGTAAGAACATTTAATGTTTTGCAAAGCTAGGAAAGTCAACTTGAGTGCTAGGATTTGATGTCTTGGCCGAGGAGATGAGGCCACGTGTAAAATGATCCAAATGTCACCATTCGAATTGTAACACTATAAATACCCCTCACCATGTAACACAAAAGGAGGACTAATGCAAAATTGGAGAGCAGACTGAATATTTTGGAGCAACCTCTTTCGTTTCAACTGCATTTTTTACAACATTTCGTTAATACAGATTTTACTTTGTCGATTGGTTTCTTATACAATCGTATCATATTCTTGCCGGTGGCCTGAACGGAAATGTCTCGTGCCTTCTAGCCACTCTCACGCCTATTATTTGGAGCCATCATGACCGTCGATTGGCATTAGCGTGTTGGATCAAGCTTGCGTGTGCACGAGTGAGCCGGATATCTGTTGGCAACATTTTTTGGGGTCAACAAGTGATATTAACTATAAACCCTAACGAAAAAGGAGGAAAGCTTTGAGAAAGAAGAGAAGAAAACATGGAAAAAAGAGCACAAAATGAATATAAAAAAAAAACCGTTTATAACTGAATTAAATGATGACCATTGGTCATGAGTACTTACCACACATTGATTTAGAGATGACAAAGGGACTGATATAGGATGGGTTGGTCATTCTCACACCTGTCTTGTTCGGTATTTTTGTCATCTTGTCTCAACCCATACTCGGTTAAAGCAAGACGTGGCGGGCTTGTGGCGGGATGAGGCAAGGCAGGTCTCTATCCCATTTGTCGCCCCATTATTTATTTATTTTATTTTTTGCTTTTATTTTTTTATATCTTTTGATTGTAAATGTACATTTTTTCAATTTGTTAAGAACAAGCTACGTTCTCTTTAAAAATGATGATCAATATTTTATTTTATTTGATAAAAAATTTAAATTTGAAATTAACCTTAAACGAGGTGGATATCAGGATGGAAACCATGTTTCCTGTATCGGCTTCGGAGCAATGACTTCCCGTCCCGTCCCATTTATTTGGTTAGACAGGTAATCCGTGTCTTGTTCGAGGCAGGGTCTGGGAGTATCGGGTAAGAGTTTTTTGGCTATTCTTACATCGATTCCTATATATAATAAAACAAAATTAAAGACTCTCCATTATTTTTATTGCTAGTTTTTATCCAAAGATAAGATAATTATCAAATAAAAAACTAACAACTTTGTAATTTGTAAGAATGTAATACTTGACTGATTCTATACTGCTAAATTCTCTCGTCTTATTGGACTATATTTTGATTTGCATTACTTGACCCCAAATCTTCTTGATCACTCAAACTATCTCCTTTATTTTTGAATATTATGAGTATATCAACCTCATCACTCGAAGATTTTGGGTCTCTTTATTGATCTTTTAATCCTCATCCTTTTTTTGTGGCTAAGCTGTGAGATATTGCTAACATCCTTCCGCAAATTGTGTTGGGCTGAAGGCACAATTTGGATCGACAAAAAAATTAAGAATTGCTATGCACATTGACTTAGTGAAAAAGTCAATGATATTTACCTTCATCCGTGCGAAAATATATTACTTCTTGTAGTGTGAATTCACATTCTAGTGATTTTTGTGTGTGCATTTTATGTGCTTTCCATACTAGGTTGTGTTTAAAGCCAATAACGAGTTCAATAGTTTCTTTATAGTGTTTCAATTATCCACCAACAAAGGAGATCGGACTTTCGCCAGGCAATGAACTTATTTGTTAGTTTTGGTATGAATTTTTTTTGTGGTGCTATTTGAATTTGGTGTGATGTATTTGACGGGATAAGGTCTTCATTGATGACCAACTTGTTCTTAAGCTCATTTGTTAATTTTGAGATGAATTTTTTTTATTTTTTTGGTGATGGTGTTTGAATTTAGTGTGACGTATTTGATGGACGAGAACCACTTGGATAATGGCTTTTAGCAAGAGCTAAGGTTTGCTCGCGTCATAAGGGTAAGTGATAGGTGATTTTGAGTGTAAACAAGTTTTAAACTTTTAGGCTAGTGAAGGAGATAAGTTGTGGTGTGTCAGTGCTCACAATGGCTCTGATATCAAGAAAATATGAAAAAGAAGCAAAAAAAAAAAAAAAGAGGGTGAAAAACTGTTTATAACTTCATTAAATGATAACTATAAGTCATGAGCACCTACTACACATTGATTCCTATTTACAATAAAGCAATATTAACAACTTTTCACTATTTTTGTTGCTAGTTTTTATTCATAGATAAGATAACTATCAATTAACAAACTAACAACTTTGTATTTTGTAGGATTATAATACTTTACTGATTCTATCATGCTATATCTTCACATTTTATTGGACTCTCATTTGATTTGCATTAATGGACCCCAAATCTTCTTGATCACTCAAAATATCTCCATTGATTTTTGAATATTGTGAGTATATCAACTTTCATCATTCCAAGATTTCTGGGTTTCCTTATCAATATTTTGATCCTCATCCTTTTTCTTGTTGTCAAGCTGTGAGATATTGCTAACATCCTGTGCTAGGCTGAAGACACAATTTGTTTCGATGAAAAAAAAAATTAAGAACTACTATGCACATTGATTTAGTGAAGAAGTCAATGATATTTATCTTCAGCCTTGAGAAGATGTATCACTCGTTGTAGCGTAAGTTTACATTCTAGTAAATCTTGTGTATATGCATTTTATGTGCTTTCCATACTGTATGGGTTGTGTTGTGTTATTTGTTCACGCCATAAAGGTAATTGATAGGAGATTTTAAGTGTAATCCAGTTTCCAACATTAGGATAGTGAAAGAGAAGAGTTGTGGTGTGCCAAGCAGTGGCAGACGCAAATATTTGAAGTTGATGAGACGCAGTCAAACTTATAAAAAACTTACCAAAAAATTAATGTATTCGATATCTTATTATTAGAAATGTTGAAGCATAAAGTGGGTCAATTATATATATGGTTGGGGGAATTTAACTCCCACCGACTTTTATTGATGGAGCTTAAAAACTCACTAAAAATATGTGGATGTCTTTTGATTGAAAAAAAAGGGGAAAAAAAGTGGCTCAATTATACAAACAAAAGGACAAGATAATCTCCACTCCACTCATCCCAGCAACAATCCCCATTTCAATCCCACCAACAAGAAGTCAGCTTTGTTCGACTATCTTTTGATTTGCATTAATTGACCCCAAATCTTCATGATCACTCAAACTATCTCCATTGATTTTTGAATATTGTGAGTATATCAACATCATCACTCCAAGGTTTTTGGATCTCTTTATTAATCTTTTGATCCTCATCCTTTTTTTTGTTG